TGCCAAGATGACTGGGATGTCTTACTCCCTCCACTTTTGATGGCCTATAGGACAGCAGAACATGAAAACACTCCAGCAAAGTTGATGTTTGGTCGGGAACTTTGGTTGCCAGTGGATCTGTTAACAGGACGCCCACCTTACGAAGAGTGGCCTGAAAATGTGTCAGAATTCGTGAAAGTGTTATCGGAAAGGATGGATGATATTCACTATGAAGTGCGTTCAAACTTGAAAACGTCTGCTGATTCGATGAAGCTATGTTATGATAAGAGATCTACTGAAGTCAGCTTGTACCAGGAGACAAGGTGTGGTTGTATAATCCCAGGAAGACCAAAGGGAAGTCTTCTAAGTTGTCTTTTCCATGGGAAGGCCCATATGACATAGTGGATCATCTCTCAGACGTGACTTTCCGGATAAAATGTGGTCGGCAAGGTAAGCCAAAGGTGGTGCATGCCAACAGGCTTTGGCGTTATCACGGTCCAGGACATTTCAGTTGGGACAAAGTGAACAATAGAACAAATGACGCTGCTGAAGACGTGTCACCTGAAAAAGCCACTGTCGAAGAAGAAACTGTACTCGGTTTTGAGAAGGTAAACAGTGAAGCCCTTGATGAAGTTACTACCACTGATGTGACTGTTACTGATGATAGAACATTTCCTGATGAAGCAGATGACGCCAACGAGACGGAGACCAGTATGGAAGAAGATACGTCCCGTAAAATTAAAAGACTTTGTTGAATTTTAATTTTGTGTTTGTAAATTCTGTACATTTAATTAAGTTATTGTTAATTATCTATTGGTTTAACGTAAGTGGCTATTGTTCGGGACGAACAATAGTAAGGAAGGGGCAGTGTTACGACAGCGGAAGTCACGTGACGCTGGTAACACGTGATGAGTTTCTAGAAGGATCTGGGAACATCACGAATAATCTAGTATTTGCTAGGCGCCCTCTATTTTAGTATATACGCCGGCAAATAAAGTGACGGCAATAATTGAATAGCAGACAGAGAGATATAGAGACAGATAATCGAGTCAAGCCGTAAGTAAAATGCGTGAATCATAGCATGTATTTAAGTTAAAGTGACTGTGGAAATTCTGTGTATTGAGAAAGAATAAACTAGTTTTGTTTAACAAAGGACTTGTATCGCTCAAGTTTCTCAGGAAGAATTTCTACGGGAAATTAACAAACGAACAGAGACGTAACAGTATCATCAATACATATTTAAGTGTGCTTTAACTTTTTAGTACTATATTTTG